ACAATTGCAGGCACTGAGCTGAGTGGTCCTCAGTTTGTCCCATCATACAGTCCTCACACAACTCCACAGGCATATTTATCATCCCCCTTACAGATGAAAACACTGAGGTGCAGAGAAGTTAAAAGACTTGCTACGAAAGTCAGAGCTGCAACTTGAACCCAGTTCTGACTCCAGAAAGCAGGCACTCAACTCTGAAGTAAAGAGCAGGAAGAGGAAGTAAAGGTCTAGCCTTCAGAATGGGGGAGATCTCTCTGCACTCCCTGTACACTCACCCTTTCCCTGCCCTTTTTAGCCCAAGTAGGAATGATAATTCCATTGACCTACTGACCTCGTAACCAGGGCCAGACAATTTCACATCTACTTGTTGGGTCATGAATAGGACCAGGAATAGAGTTAGGGTCACAAACAGGATGATCGTGCCTTGCAAACATAATTATATCCCTTGTACTCTGTGATCAAAATGATTGAGTCAGAAGGTTTTGCTTTGTGCCAGAGCCACCTGACTGGCTCTCAAAGAGGTCACCCAGGGTAGTTTTACCTTGATGAGTTTTCCACAGAGCTGAACCTGCTTCACAGCCAAGTCGGTGCTCTGAGGTTCAGCTGCCTTAGAGAGGTCCGACTCCTAGCAATCCAACTCATAGGAAGCTAAAGTATATAGCCAGATATTCACATATTCATTAACAGTTGGTATTAGTCCTTCAGTAACTGGAATGCTCCTCCCTCAACTGGGGCACCCTCTTCCCAGTAGCAGCAATCAGAAAGCCAAATCACCCATCAGCTGGCTGGTTGGTGAGTGTATCCCAAGAGTTGGCCAAGGCAGATTTCGTTCAAGTCAGGGTGGAGCATAGTGAGTCATCTCTGCCTCACAGCAGGGCACATCTGTATGAGCTCCAGTTTTGCGTTGCTCTTTCCTGGACAGTGGTGGATAATAAGTCTCAACCCTGGCCTCTTGGCTTTACCCTACTTCTTTTTCCTTTCTCTTCTCCAGCCTTCTCCCTCATTCTTGTTTCATGCTTTCTCCATACAGTACACCTGATTAGGTTGCTGACCATTCAATTGTTATCAAATTCCAGCCCTGCCCCCCTGAGATTATATCAGGGAGATGACCTGATGGGTGGGTTGGTTGGTCCAAGCTCTTTGTTTATGAATGTTTTATATATATTCTCAGATGTATTAGGTTGAACCATATGAAATTGCTATTTGGGTAGGTCAAAAACAGTCACAGAGCAGCAACTTTATGTGGTATAACTAACAACAGAACAGATTTCTTAGGGGTGGGCTTACTGAGTCCAACTCCTGTTTGGACTTAACCTTGATGGTTAAGCGAGTTTGTGTGTGTGTGTGGAGGGGAGGTCATACATGGCAGCCTTTTATGTCTCTCTGGAATCAGGCTTCTCTGGCTAGCCACTAGTGTCTGGTACTTCATTCCTCTTGCTATCCATTCACCCTCTGACAAGGGCCTTAATGTCAAGGATGAGCCGAGGAGGGACTTGAGGTTGAGGGAGACAGTCAAACTCTTTGTTATACGTGGCAGAGTATGTGTTCTAAAGCCAACAGAGAACAATTTTAAGGAACACTTTTAGATAGTTCGTTTTTGTTTATTCCCCTATTAATGCAACAAAAATTAAGGACTACTGGAGACATTTTACATTCTACAAACTTCAAATACCTGTGTGAAATAGGCTGATGCCGACACCGTTCCTACCTTCCAGGGTTTTCACTGGCTATAGTTGTATGTACATATACCTGTGTGTTTGTTTCTGGTAGCAGATTACCATATGGTAAGCTCTGTGAGGGTAGGGCCTATCTCTGACTTGCTTATCTTTAACTCCTATCATAAGGCCTGGCATACAGTAGGTGCTCATTAAAAAAAAAAAGTTTTACATAAATTAATGAGTGAGTGAATGAATGAATGAGGTTAAACAACAAAAAATATCATGGAAATACCAGGCAGGCATCAAATACTATATCAAACAAAGGGTCTCTGGACCTTTAAAGGTCAGGAGCCAGGCTGCCTGTACAAGTCAGCAAGGCTCCCCAGGGCAAGTAACCTGAAAACATTTGCTCCCCAGCTGGAAAAGGCTGGTGGAACAGCTCAGGCAGTAGCACAGACTGCCTCACAGATGTGAGAGGAAGCCACAAATGAAAAGTTGCTCCCTATTTCCTGGCAAGCTCTTTGGCCAGCATGAGCCGCATTCCTTTGAGCTGAGCATGTGTGGAATTTCCAGCCTAGGTAGCAGAATGGAACTTGGAACAAATAGCTCAGCAAAAAAAGAACCCAGGGACAATGGGACTGGACCCAGCTGCCCTTTGCCAGCTCTTGAGCTCACAGAATATTGGCTCAGTGGGCCTTGTTGAGGGAGATAAATGACGTCTTTTGGATTGTACCACTTCAGAGGTCTCAGAGACATTTCCATGTTCAGACAGCACTAAAATCCTTAGAAGATACGCTGAGATATCTAGGAATGGTCTGAGTCCTCACCACTGTTCAACTTTCTATCTAGCAAGAACAAATTAAGGCCTCTTTTGCTTTATAGATGGGGAAGGTCTAAAAATTGGACTGTCGAGGAGAAGAAACCTTCATCAAGAGAAAGCTGGAGGATGCTTCAAGGTGAGGGCAGGTGATGATGAGAGAGTGATGGCAGGATTCAGCGCCCTGTGTAATCAATCTGGAGGACAGTGTCAGGGGAAATTTAAGAGGAACTGGTGGGAATATATGCTGTCAGTTTCAGGGCAGAGGATTCAAATAGGAAGGGATCAGCTTCTTGGTGGAGACAATAACTACAGACAATAACACAACCACGAAGATACTGGTCTCTCCACTGGCCTGACCTGAATTTCTTACATAAGATCATGTTCTGGGAGCATGTCATGAATCACACTGAAAAACATAGTGGGGATTTCTGCCGGGTCAACCCTCAACTGCAATTCCTTCTCTGCATTTTCCCGAGTCATGAATTCCTTCAAGACACTGATACGTTGATGGAGACCTAAGAAAGGAGAGACTGAACTCCAGTTATTCATATCTCGATCTTCTTGATTATAAGGGAGTTGAAGGCACGAATGACGGATTACTCAACCTAGAATAGGCCACATAACCTTAAATATAGCTAAATAGGTGCTTCATAGATGAGGAAAGAAAGAACCAAAGGAAGCAAGCAAAGAAGGGAAAGGAAGAAAAATGTTACAAAGATGTTAAGGGAGGTGGAGTGGGGACAGTACTTAACTTGGCCTGCATCACAGGAAGATATGTAGTGTCACAGAAGGACACTGTGTCACCTAGCTCCCATCTTGGGGGGTGGGGGGTAGTTAATATTTGGGGAATAATATGTAAGCTTGCTGTTGCTCAAGGTTAGGTACCTGATTTACTTTGCTGACATATTCTGGACTTAGTTCTTTTAATAGTAGTGGAGGTGCGGGAGGGAGGGAAGATACGTTTAAATGGGGAAACTGTAAAGGAAAAGACAAAGAAGCAGCTCCATTTACTGGATGTGCTGTATCTACCCCATGAAGCTACTAACAGTCTGAGTCATTTCCTCAGTGGCTGTTCTCTCCTCTGTCCTTAGGAGGAAGTGGAAAGTCTAATACATTACGGCACCTTTTTCTTTTCTTTTTTTTTAATTTTTAAAAAAAGTTTTATTTTGAGAGAGTGTGAGTGGGGGAGGGGGTGAGAAAGAGAGAATCTTAAGCAGGCTCCACGCTCAGTGCAGAAGGCAACACAGGGCTTGATCTCATGACCATGAGATAATGACCTGAGCCAAAATCAAGAGTGGGCTGCTCAACCAACTGAGCCACCCAGGTACCCCTAGGCCACCTTTTTCATGTTAAAGAATTCCTGGGGCCCCTGGGTGGCTCAGTAGGCTAAGCTTCAGACTCTTGATTTCAGCCCAGGTCATGATCTCTGGGATCTGAGTTCCAAAACAGGCTCCGCGTTGAGCCTGGAGCCTGCTTAAGATTCTCTCTCCCTCTCTCTCTCCGAATAAATAAACTTAGAAAAGAAAGGGAAAAAAGGATTCTTTTCATTCTCAAGACCCAGAAAGTACTTAACGGTAAGACCAGGTTTGACTTGGGTATTTTATCCCTACCCTATGACACATCATTCTCCTTTTATCAGATATAAAAGCTAAAGCTAAATTGCAGCCATCGTCTAGACTCAAGTCAGGGCAAGGAGCACTATTTAAATGTCTTAAAGTTATGTATTTCGCATCCAATGCGTGTTAGTGCTGGGAAGCGAAGAGGTCCTCTTTTCCCACATAGCTAATGCCCCCATCTTATAAATCAGAAGCTTGAGGATCAGATTTCTTTAGCTTGACCTTGGTAGACCTATCTAGGAGCGGATGGAGTCCAGACAAAAATCAATCCGCGTCTCCCTACCTACTGGCTTACTAAAGATCTTTTCCGACAGGACCTAAACGTTAAGCTCACTGATCCTCTCACTTTTCTAATCACTTCGTCAAATGAAAATTAAAACTCGTCAGAGCAGAGAGGGTGGAAGTACAGCGTGGAGCGAAGGAAGAGGTGCCATCTCTACCACAGCCAGCTTAACATAATGCCTTTCCGTTTCGCCAAAGTTCAAGGCACAAGGCCACAGTTCACTCTGGGCGAGCAGACACGCGTGCATCCTACGCATGCGCTCAGAGGGGACCCGCCCGCCCCTTTCACCGGACCTCTTCAGCCAAGTCACCAATTAGCCCTCCAAATGCCCGCCCTCAAGGCTAAACCCTCGGCCAATCCGGAGACAAGAGCCATCAGGCACATCACTTATGCAGCATACACCCTTCTCCCCCCGTCCCAAGGCCCCGCCCCGTCTGAGGCAGGGATTGTCGCCTAAGCGCTTCGTTCTGGCACCTGATTGGCTCCTCTCCCAGCCCCGCCTCTGTCTCCTCCCACAGCCCTCCCCTCCACCGCCCCTCAGCGGCGGGCGGAGCTAAGTACGCAGGCGCGGGCGCTGCCTCTCTCTTCTAGTGGCCCGCCCTCCCTCCTCCCCCTCCCTCCCCTCCCCACCCCCTCTCCCTTCCTTTCCCGGCGTGCGCGCGCGGGTCTTCCTCCTGCACGCGCCGCCGCTAGCCGGGCACTCTCGCCGAGTCTCTGGCCCGCGCGTTCCTTTTCCCCTCCGGCTGCGGAGCGGACAGGATCCTGCACGGCGGTCGCGGCAGTAGCTGCAGCCCCGGCAGCCGCGAGGGGCAGGAGCAGCGCGCGATCCCCCAGGCGGACCGTACCACCGCCCGTCAGCACGCAGGGGGAACCTCCCGCCCCGCCACACTCGCCTCGGCGACCCCGCGGGGCTGAGGCGTCGCCGCGCCCGGGAGCGTGATCGCAGAGCCGGCCTCGACCCGGAGCTCGGAGCCCCGCGGGCCGCGCCCGCCGCCGGCCCCACCCATCCGGGCCGTGGAGGCTGCGGCCATGGCCGAGACGGAGGAGCGGAGCCTAGATAACTTCTTCGCCAAGAGGGACAAGAAGAAGAAGAAGGAGCGGAGCAGCCGAGCCGCGAGCGCCGCGGGCGCGGCGGGCGGCGCCGGCGGGAGCAGCGGAGCCGCGGGCGCGGCGGGCGGCGGGGCGGGCGCGGGGGCCCGACCGAGCGACAGCGGGACCGCGGGCGCGGGGGCCGCGGGCTCCGGGGCCGCCACCAAGGCCGTGACTAAGGTGAGGGGCTGGGAGGCCGGTGTTTCGGGGCCGGGCCGCGCGCTTGCGCCCCTGTGCCCGCCCCCGCCAGCCGCCCACGGGGGGAAGCGTCCGGGAGGGGCCGGCCATGTGACGGGGGCTTCCCACCCCGGGCTGGCGCCCCTCTCCTCGCGGGACCCCCACCCACCGCCCCCAGCCCGCTCCCGCCTCTCCACCTCGTGTCGCCGGCCCGGCCCGAGACCCGGAACCCGGCACCCTCGAGGGGAAAAGGGTCTGGGGCCGAAGTGCCCGGCCCAGAGCAGCGTTTATCGGGTGACGTCTGCTCTGAGACTCTTGAGTAATTTGGCGTTCCGACTTCAGCCTAGTCGTCTGAGCTGAATTTTTTAACAATCGCATTTGTGGCAGCTCTGAGCGGCAGGGCTTGGCCTGTAAGCCTGTAACAGTGTCTCAACATTAAGGTAGACGTTTAGTTGTGGGGTTACTATTGACTTTCTCATTCGACTTTTCCTGGTTGCCTTTAAAGTAACCTCTCTCTTGAAGGGAGCGGTGGAAGTAAAAGAAATTTGACTGCTGGGCACGTTTGTCCTCCAGGCCAGTCGGCCTCGGGATCAAGTAAGGGTTTTGGCCAGAAAATGAGTCTATACTTTAGGTTCCAGACACTTGATTCCCTTTTCATACATAGTCCGATATTTGCCTTAGTTGTATTTTAACAAATAGCTTTAAGTGATCAAATGGTTGTGTGTTTTACAGGATGAAGATGAGTGGAAAGAATTTGAACAAAAAGAGGTTGATTACAGCGGCCTGAGAGTTCAGGCGATGCAAATAAGGTATGATCTGTTTACTAACGTGTTTAGATAACCCTTAGGATAGGTGGTGTTTGGTTTTTCTCTGGCCCCTAAGGCATCACAGTGGCCTCCTGCTTTAGATACGCTTATTAGGGCTGTAGTGGTTGTGTCCCTGATGGCAGTCCTTCTATATGCTGATCAAATTAGCTGCCAGCTCCCAAATCCTGTGAGAGCTTGCCTCCTTGGGACAGCTAAAATGAAATGGATTTTGTGGCCTTCAAGATTTTTACTTTCAGTATTGATGGGTTGGACGACGTGGTTTTCAGATCCTCTCCCATAGGCAAGTTCATCTGTATTTTTGTAACTGGAGCATACTAAGAAGTACAGATTTTAGGTGTTCATACAGTGAGACCACCCTGTGAAATCAACAGCGAGGTCAAGAAAGAAAACGTCGCTGCTGAGTCCGTTTAGTCCCTGCCTTCGCTCCCTAAGACTAACCACAGTCCTAACACTGTAGATTAATTTTCCCGAGGATGTTATAGGGATTGTATTAGACAGTCCAAGCATGTTATTTTTAAAGTTCCAGAAAACGGGATTTTTTAAAAAAAAAACTGGGTTGGTTGCCTTAATGTGTTTGAAATTAACATATTAAGTCCAATCTGTGGCATTTCATTTCAGATTCTTGTAAATTAGTGTCATTTTAATGGGCTCATAAAGTAGAATAAAACAAGTGAATATCTGGTTCCACCATTGTAAGATAAACACTCTTTAATCTCTGTTTAAAGAAATAAATGAGATCCTACTGAAGTGTCTTCAGTTTAAAGTTTGCAGTTTGTAGACTCCAGTGACCACGTGGTGCACTGAAGGAAGTAATTTTCCTTAACGAGAAGACTGTCCTTTGACTTCTCTAAATGGTGACATTTACAGCATTGAGTAACTTTTTCAAAAACCGGGGCTAATATTTTCGACATTAGTGGCATTCCTCCTGCCATGAGGCATTACTGGGTTCTCCCACATTGTTTCATGAGCTTAACCAAAGTGAAACCTGACTGATAGTGGGAGACTTTTTAGGAAATGAGGCTTTTCCACCCTTGAAGCTCTTTTGTAGTAACGCTAGGTAGAAGTGATTAGACTGCAGTTTTATTCCCAACCGCTTCTTGAATTTGTGTGTTAGATGTGGTGGAGTTGAGAAAATATCCCTGTTTGGGGCGCCTGGGTGGCTCCATTGGTTGAGCAACTAACTCTTGATTTCAGCTCAGGTCATGATCTTAGGGTTGGTCAGATTGAGCCCCTTTGAGAACCCTGCTTGGGATTCTGTCTGTCTCAGCCCCTCCCCATGTGTGCGCGCTCCCTCTCGCTCTCTTTTTTAAGAAGAGAGAATATCTCTGTTTTCTTCTGGGGCTTGCCCTGTAAAAATGAAGAGGGGGTGATGTGAAGTCCTTAATCCTTGGAGGTTGTGGAACTGCCTGTGTATGTGGCTCCTGTTCAGCTGTAGATTGAGGCTCTAAGTCTGCCTTTCCTGATCACAGGCCCTTGACCGCACACGTTCTGTAGATTTGAATGACAAGAAGGGTAGTGTTTGGTCATGAGAACTTACTGAGCAAGAGTAGCACTTGCTGAGGGGGAAAGGTTTCAGAGTCACTGAATGCTAGAAATGGATTTTTTTATATTATGGAGGATATTTAAACTACCTATTTTTATGTCATTGCCTATATATTCCATATCCATATTCAAGATTACTTTTTGTCTTTCTTTTTGGCCACTCCAGAGGTGAGGAAACATTTAAGTCATTTCTTTCTTTCACCTTTGCCAGGGGCGCAGGTGAATCTCAGCTGGGCTAGTATGAGTGTTTAAGTTCTGCTTGGCCTGAAGCAGGCCAGCTTTTAATGTTGTTTTTTCATTTTTCTTAGCATGTAGTCATTTCTCCTACGTGGTCCTCCACGTCTTCCTCTACCCTGCTAACACTGAAAACATACCTTCAGGAAGCTGCTTTTTGGATCCTCAGTCATTGTGGAATCTGGAATGTATATTTCCATTGCCTTCATAAATCACTGAATAAAGAGGGATCTAACAGCCTTCAGGAAAGACTTGGGTGTGAGAAGTCATCTGAAGTTTAATAACAATGACTAATATTTTCACTCTGTATACTGAAAAACCTTGTAAACTTTGTATTAAATGGTCTTGATCCTGAAAGTGGGGTTGGGATCCCCAAGGAAAGACACTTTGGTTCATAGAAGTGGAAGTAGGTTACTCACATAAGTGGGGTGGAGTTGATAATGTCTCAAAAACATGGGCTTTGGAGATAGACAAACCTGGCTTTGCACTTTAGCCTGCGGCTTATGTGTGACCTTGGGCAGGTTGGTTGGTTGTTGAATGTTGGTTGTGATCTGCAAAATTGAGATAACGGCTGGGATTGTTGTGAGGATTTTTGAATAGGGTATTTGTAAAATACCCATTTGGTGATATTAACTGTCTCTATTCAGTAGGTACATTAGGATGATCTAGTCTTAGGAATTTCTCTGTTATTTACCATGAGATACCTGGTTTATAGTACCAAGATTTGAGGGAAAGGGTAGTGGAGACACATAAGATTACCATGACTGGTAGACTCTGGTGAGTCAGTTCACCCGAGACCTAATAGGAGAAAATTACATGTTCAGATTGGCATTGGTATAACCATACAAAACTCCCTCTATCAGGAATGTTAAACATTGCTGTAGACCTTCAATTGAATTCTATAGCTTGGTCTTTTTAGGCAGAAACCCTTAGAATGGGGGCAGAGAAATAAGATCTTTTCTCAGAGAAATTGGGGCGGGTGGTTCTTTGTGCCTTTAATCTGTTACCTTTTTCTGTGAGAGAGGCAGCCTTACCATCTTAGAATGAGATAAGGGAATATGAAACTTTGGAGATTGACTTAAAGTATCTTGAAATTTTCAGCCTTATAATTACAAATTTTTTCATCCAACTTTTTGTTCTGAAAAATTAGAAACCTCAGGAAAGTTGCAAGAATAGTAGAATAAGTGCCCATGTATGTATATACATATATATGTTATATATATTATAATATATATAATGATCTGATCATTTTTGCCTTATTGCTTTATCTTCAGTCAGCTACAGAAATGGCCTATCACCTTAAAATTCTGGACACTACACCCTGTGGTAGGTTAGCATGCTGGACCTTTATTGAAAATATGTGCATTTGAGAGAGGAAATTTTTGAGGGGTACCTGGCTGGCTCAGTTGGTGGAGCATAGGACTCTTGATCTCAGGGTTATAAGTTCAAGCCCCACGTTGGGTATCAAGACTACTTAAACTCTTTTTAAAAAAGGAAATTTTCATTAGCAACAAACATGATACTAATATCCTACCACACATTTACTAACTAACTCAAGATTTAAGTACCAACAGTATTATTATAAGACCTTGTGTCAAATTTTGTATCTAAATTAATAGATGTATTCAAGGTCATCATTTATACACAGGTTCTTCAGAGGAGTGCCATTGGGATCGTGATAAAAAGAAGGGACCTAACACTGGAGCTTAGATTGTTGGTTGATTTGATAGTAGGACCTGTGACCTCTCCTCTTTAAAATGGATTTTGGGGAGAAAGAAGGATTTCGTTTAATATTTGAAGTTCATAAATGTTGAGCACCTTTCAATAAAGAATTGAGTTCTTGGAGCCCGGTGGGCTTTTTTTTAGGAACCTTCTTAAGAAATGTAGACCTTTAAACCCATTATGTGGAGCTGACTAAGTTGTTATTTGAAGAAATCACTCCTGCATCCAAGCTGGATTCCTTGTAGCAAATATTTGTGTCAAGGAGGTGTGCCAGACATCAGGATTGTAGAAATAATTCCTGCTCTACTAAACGCCTAGATCATTTCAGTGATGTGCAGGCTGCTGTGGAACACAGGAGAGAGGCACTTGGTCTGCTGTGCAGGGATGGAGAAGGAGTCCTTGGAGGAGGTGCAGTGCCATTTTAGGCTGCCAGCATAGCTCATCGGGCCACGTCCATCTTCATTTTGCTGTTGTGACAGTGGTTAGATAATAAATAGGGTCAAACCAGTGGAGGTGCCTACCATTCTCACAGAAGTACAGTCATCTGGATTTAATCCTACTGTTGGGATGCATAAATTCTCGTGTAGTTTCCCTTGAGATAAAGAGGTAAGAATGTTCCATCTTTATTAACAAATTGCTGCAGGATGTGTAATCTTGATCAACTTTACTGAAAGTGAGTTTCTCAACATTAGAGCTCTGAAGAGGATAAAATGAAATAAAGAGGCAACATGAAAGAATATGGGCTCTGGAGACCCAGGGTTTGGCGACGCTACTTTGTAGCCCTGGGGGAGTGACTTAATGTCCAAGTGTAGTTTCCTCCTGTGTCAGTGAGCCTCCTGCCTGCCTTGGTGTTATTGTGAGGTTTAACTTGGCAAAGTGGTAGGACTCTTTCCCGGCCTCCTGGATGCTCTGTAAATATTCCCTTTGCTAACATCATCATTCCCCCCACACCACGAACAGTACCTTACAGACTTTTGCATATTTAAGACTGTATACTTTAAAATTGATAATATACTTACAAGTAGCAGTGTAGTGTTTGGAAATGTGAAATTTAGCTGATGAGAAGCTATGTATATTTTGAGTCAAACACGATTTTAGCCTAATTGACTTCTGTGGAATTAATTCTTCGCAGCATTTGTCTTACTATGGTATTTAGAGATTTGACATTTTCTGGAGTATGTAAATATGGAAAATAATCAGATATTTAAATCATTTCTGCCCTGCCCTTAGTACGAGGGCATTTTGGCAAGGCTCTTAGCATCTGTGGGCTTTAGTGCCCTCTCTGGGATGAAGGGTCCTGACTAGACAGTTTCCAGTGTTTTGTTTAACTATTAGTTCAGAATGTTAAACCAGAATATTAACTTGTCTTATGTTTATTATTACCGATATAAAATTCTAATTAAACAAGTCATTCTTATTTCTTAGTAATAGTTTATAATTTCAAGGGATTTTTAGATTTGTGATTAATTCAGTTCTTCACTGGACTCTGAGGAAGAAGAGGTAATAAACACTAGACAATAAAGGAACCTTCTTTCACAGCGGGCCATCAGCATTCTATCAGACCAAATTGGGGGTTCTATTTAATATTTTATTGTGAATTACAAAAACTATTTAAAGGACATTTGAAAACTATAACAGCATAAAGAAATGTATTCGATTTATCCATAGTCCGTTCTGCTTAGGGATAATCAGTATTAGGATTTTTTGGTCTTCAGTTAATTGTTTACTACAAGCTGATAATTCTGGGGTTTAGCTACATTAATCACCAAATATTAAAGTACTTTATAGAAAACTGTGTCTTAAGAGTCCAGGATATGTATTTGAAAAACAGTGATTCAGCACATTTTGCTGAGTTAACTGTTTGCAAATGTAAATGACCAACTGAAATGAAAGCTTACATACCTTGGGGTATAGATGAGAATAAAAGTGCCATGAACGTTCTTAAAGCTTTATTAGGGATCTTCCTGTCTCGCCGGGATTGGGGTGCTGGGATATTACTAACAAGTGTGATGGTACATAACACCGTGTTTTCACTCCTGAACCAATATTAAAGCGTAACTGCATTGCCATGGGTTCAGAAGTGAGTAACTAAAAACAATTGGCATAGAGTGGATAGTACTTCCGTTTGGATACTGCTGTATCCAAACCCCCATACCTGGTCATTCATTCCCACGTATAAACTTTAGGAAACAGGGTCATAGGGCTTGGTTTCTATTTTTAAAAATCCATTTAAGGGGCACCTGGGTGGCTTGGTCAGTTAAGTGTCTGACTCTTGATTTTTAGCTCAAGTCGTGATCTCATGTTAGAGCCCCTCATCAGGCTCTGCACTGACAATAGGGAGCCTGCTTGACAGTCTCTCTCTCTCTGCCCCTCCTGTGCACGCTTACTCACTCTCTCAAACTAAAACTTTTAAAACACTCATTTAAAAAGAACATGTCTTCAAAAAAACCCATGTTTTCACATTGTGGGTTTTAGGAAATTGAGTTTTGTTCTGTTTTAGTTGTTCCTAATAATGTGGTGGCATCTGCGCCACTTGTTTGAAGCTCAAATGCATATTAAAAAGCAGGTAATAGTAAACAATTAACAGCGCTTAGTATGTGCCAGGCACTGTTCTCGGGGCTTTGTGTCTGTTAACTCAGTCTTGCTGTTCTCCCCATTTTACATATTTTACATATGTGGATGGAAACTGAGGCATATAAAAGTTAAGTGCCATAGTGAGTCTCTGGCTAGTAAGTGGCAGAACCAGGCAATCTGGCTTTAGAATCTGCTCATAAGTACCTACTGCATGAACAAAATAAAATCATGCATTCTAGCACCTAGCTACTTTAAATTTTTTTAAATCATGGGTGCCTGGGTGGCTCAGTGGGTTGGGCATCTAACTCTTGATTTTGGCTCAGATCATGAACAAAAAGAAACTGAAAGGTGGCTTGGCCATATTCTCCATTCTTTTTTCCACTCGAACAATAGTCTTAAATAACATTGTGCTACAAATGCAGAGGGAAAATGAGTCCGTTCCCCTCTCCCCTTCCCGATTGCCACCCTAAGCCTCTAAATTTGGTGGACATTGTCTTTGAAATGTGTATGTGTCTTTAAAGGAGACCATTAGTTATTCAAGAAAGTTGTCTTATAGCCAGGATTTCCCTCGAAATGGAAGGAAAGCACACTTAGATGTCCTTTTGCAGAAGCCAAGAGAGGCCATGCTGATCCTCAAGGCCACACGGTAGGGTGTAGGGTGGGAGTCCTCTGTATGTTGTTACAGCCATGATCACTGATTAGGTATCAGAGGGAAACATGTCTAAAAGTGGAAGGTTGGCCAGCTTTAGGCAACATCTCTTTTTTTCACTAGGAGAAGAGAGGGTGACCCAAATGGTAAAGGAGGTTGATAGGCTAAAGTTCTAGGAAAAACTACCATTGTCATAGAAAACAATTCATGGAAAGGCTGGTAGTGTGCCAGAGGTGGCATCAGCAAGGGCAAATAGCTGTAAAAAGGAAGTTAGATTTGACAATTAACTCACTGATTTCGAGTTTTTGTATTCTCTTCTTTTGTAAATGGGTGACATATCTGGTGATCGGGACCAGGTCTCTATATATTCTCTGTGTCAAACAGTAGGGACTGGCACTAATAAAAGTCTGTAGCACCAATGTAAACACTGAACACGTACGTTTTCTCTATTGGAATGTGAATTCTAATTTTGAGAGTATTTTGTAATCTGTACTAAACGATTAGCCAGTGACATACAACTTGCAAGGACCATTTCATCCCCGAAAATAATGCTTACCATGAGTGCTAAAGAAGTGGGGGATTTGGGCTCTGACAAGGTTAAGGGACTTCTCTAAGGTCACGCAGACACCAGCATTGATTGAACTAAGGGTTGGGACTGACAGTTTTCCTGGTGGTTCTGTAATGGAGTTCTCTCATTTGCTTTTCCAACAGCGAAAAGGAAGAAGAAGATAATGAAAAAAGAGAAGATCCAGGTGATAATTGGGAAGAAGGTGGAGGTGGTGGTGGTGGTGTCGAAAAGTCTTCGGGTCCCTGGAATAAAACCGCTCCGGTACAAGCACCTCCTGCTGCAGTAATTGGTAATCTTCATGTTTTATTCTCATAAAGACACCTAGGTATGAGTTTACATATGGTTAGCTTTCAGCTCCATGAGTGCTGTGGTAAAACGAGAGGGGTTCCTTTCTGTTCTTGGGGGAGAAGTTTGTACGTGTCTGTCTAAAGATTTTTACATCCTAAGTAAAGGAATTTGGAAGTTAAGATTTGTGCTTTTCTGTAGGCTGCTTACATTTATATGTAAAGTAACCCTTGCCAAATTTAAATATTTAAGTCGTTTTACTTTTTGACATCTGGCTAATGGAGATTGAGTACCTGTGTTTCCACCTATGGTCCGTCCCCCCCCCCCATTTCACTGTCTTGAAGCATGAATTCTCAGAAGGGCAGATTTTTATACAGAATAATATAAAGAACAACAAATCTTACTGCCCAGAGATCATAGATAACTACTGTGTATCAACATTCTCGCATCCTTTTTAGCCCTTTGCTATGTTATGCGTGTTTTTCAATTTAACTTTTTTTATTTTTGAGAGCATGTGAGGGAGGGGCAGAAAGGCGGGGGGCACAGTTTCCAAAGCATGTTTTGTGCGGACAGCAGAGCTCTTAACATGGTTCACTGCATCTGTCCCTGATCCTGATGACCTCAGGAATGCTAAACTCGTTTCCCAGTCCCCGTCCTCAGTCGATTTGCCACATCACGCAACATTTGCTGTAGCTGATCACCCCTGAAACACACTTTTCCAGGACCCCACAGTCTCCTGCCCCCTCCGTGGTTGGCTCCTAGACTCCCTGGCTGGGTTCTCCCCTTCTCCCCTGCCTCTAAGTGACATTGTGCCCCAGTGCGCTCAGTCCTTGCCTCACTCTTCTCCGTGCCCTTACTCCCCTGGCAGTCTCCACATGCCAGCGGCTCCGAAATTCCCATCCACTCAGATCTCCCCTGACCTCCACACACATAGATCTGAACCGCCTGTCCAGCACCTCAGTATCCACATAGCCGAAGCTGAACCCTTCATGTAGAGTTGACCCCAAAACATTATATAAATTACTGCAGTGACCTCTTAACTGGTTGGCCTGCTTCCCTACATACACTGCTCCCAGCACAACCAGTGGCCAGTGCAGTGATCTTTTCAAATGTGACAGAATGTGTCCCTGTGCTGTTGACAAACCTCCAGCGGTATTCCCTGTAGTCAGAATAGAAGCTAAAGTTCTCACTTGCAGCACCTTAGATACCTGTCTTGGGACCCCTTTTTCTGACTTAGTCTTTCTTTTAATCAGGTCCTTGCTCACTCTGCTCCTTGAACATACCAGGCACATTGCTGCTGCAGGCCCTTTGTGCATATTATTTTCAGCCCGAATTCTCTTTCGTTTATGCTGGGAGTCTCTAAGTAAGCTCTTTCTGTAAAGGGCCAGATGATAGGTAATTGCACTTTTGAGAGCCACGCAGAAGACTATTTTAATTACTCAGCTCTGCTCTTAAACAGCACAAAAGCAGCCACAGACAGTATGTACACCCATCGAGTGTAGCCGTGTCCCAGTCAGACATTTGTAGTATCAGTAGTCCGCCCGATCCAGCTTGTTTATCAACGCGTTACGCTGGCTGCCTTCTGTCCGGCCTCGTTCATTTTTTCCTCGTCACTGACGCCCTTCCTGTCATGTGCTCCTTGTACAAACTCTTCCCGCACCTTACATATTTGATTTCCTTACTCTGGGATAACACTGTCCACTAGTCCTTTTGCGGTGATAGAATAGCACTGTTCACTGTAGTAGCCACTAGCCACATGTGGCTATTGATTGAGTACTTAAAATGCGACTAATATAAGTGAGGAACTGAATTTTTAAGTTTATTTCATTTTAAATAGCTGCATGTGGCTAGTGGCCAGAATCTACAGTCCATGAATGCCAGTCCTTACCATTTGTATCTTCACTGTGAACAGTACCTGACACAGAGCAGGTGCCTAGTAACTAATGAATGCATATTTTATTATAGCTTTCCCACGCTTAATTAAAAGCTGTATGAGACAATGAGCCTTTATGCATTATGTTGCAGCTAATAAATGTTGTAGGCGTTTATTTGAAAGGAAGTTTTTGATAAATGGAACAACATGTGAAATGCTGAATCCATGTTGAGAATGGGGAGAAAAAAATGAAACAAGATCCATTGATGATATGACCTTGAAATTAAGGATATCTGGTATATTCTTTTACTAGTCTTTCTTTATTTTAATGTTTATTTCTGAGAGAGACACAGTGTGAGCAGGGGAGGGTCAGAAAGAGCGGGAGGCACAGAATCCGAAACAGGCTCCAGGCTCTGAGCTGGCTGTCAGCACAGCGCCCAGCGCAGGGCTTGAACCCACGAATGGTCAAATCATGACCTGAGCCGAAGTCAGATGCTTAGCTGACTTAGCCACCCAGGCGCCCTCTTACTAGTCTTTTAGAATTAAAAATATGTACACAGTTAATTTAGTAAGTAAATTCTGTATGCTGGCATCTTATTTAACCCACCAAACAGGTAAAGACATCATTAATCCACACTTACGTAAACTGAGGGCTGATGTGGTCATACTCTTAAAGGCAGCCCCTCCTGGGCCTGTGTCTCAGGTCCAGCAGAGTCTTTGCCATTTCCAGTAAGTTTAATTCTAGAAAGAACTCATTTACCTAGGTAATTAAAACTGCACATGGGAGAAAAATTAGATTACTCTAGGAAAATAGAGTTTTTGCTTTCAGACGTTTTGTCAGGTAACTTTCTCTTTGGAGACTCATATAGGTATTGTTTTTTCTGTAATTATCAAATGATTGGGAATGTGGGATAGCTTACTAGAATGCCAGGCATTTGAATAGTTTCTCTGGACTGTTACAAAATGTTAGTTACAGAAACCCCGGAACCAGTGATGACTAGTGGTGTGTATAGGCCCCCTGGAGCCAGGTTAACCACAACGAGGAAAACACCGCAAGGCCCACCGGAAATCTACAGCGACACACAGTTCCCGTCCCTGCAGTCCACTGCCAAGCATGTAGAAAGCCGGAAGTAAGTACTCCAGCTCTCTTTTGTCTTGGCGCCCTGTCCCTTGCCCAGGAAATGGGAGAACCACGGGGGGTCCTGGTGGGGGCTGTGGAGAAAGGGCATCAAAGAGCCATGTTGTCTGCAGGTCTCTATCCCCAGTTTGTATATTGTTCTGTAGCTGTGACAGGTCTTGTCTAGTTAGAATTCTTCCTAACATGGAAACTAGAAATGTAGTAGATGAAAGATGTTGGCATCTATAAATCTAATAATAAAATAAAATAATCTTATTTCAGCAGGTACTTAAAATGAATGCTACCTGGAGTTAAATGACCACATATGGCACATCCACATCTTTTTTAGGGATATGAATTTTTAAAGTAAATAAAATGTAAAAGACATCAGATGGAAATACTGGTGGGGGGTTACTTTTAAAGTAAATCCCAGCCTTTTTGCCTACGAGAGCCTAGCTGGCTTGAATTGAAGCCTCCATGTTGACTTGATCCTCCACTCTGTCCTACAAAATGCCGGGCAGTGATTTCCCACACTTACCTTTCTTCATCGGACCCACTCACATAAAGAAGTGAGGAGAAATCACTGAATGACCAGTAGAACTTTACTTGAATAAGAAAACCATTGCCCTTATGTATAAGGAAAGAGATGTATTGTTACATTGTTTGCTAAAAATAAAAGTGACTCTTAGAAGGAATCACCGTGTCACTTAGATAGCCTTTTGACTTTCCAGTTGTCTTCAGGTTGGTCTGAAAACAAATTTTGCCACCACAGAAAACAGGACCATAGAGCTTCAGTGTTAGTGTTTTCTGTTCATTTGAATACTAGAAAATGATTTTATGTGCAAGTTTCCCCTGTTGGAAGCAGAGCATTCCTAAGTCAGAACGGCATAAAGCAGAGAGGATCCCTTACTTTGTGAAAGCTTGTGTTACGCCACTTCGCTTTCCCCGGAAGAACCTATGTTAGTGCGTGTTTTCACTGACTGAAAGGAATCTGGGGAGATGTTCGCCGCTGTGGGAAACAGCTGCTGCCGTCCTGATGTGGGTCTTCTACAGAAGCAGGTGGTGGAGCACAGACTTTCAGGAAGCAGGGGATACCTGTCCCCGTTTCCCTTCCCACTCCTCCCTCAGGTTACTTCTACGGGGTGGCTTGTTTTGCTTTTTGTCTTTTGTTTTTAATTTGAGGAAGAATATTTACACAGCGACCCAGTGAAGAAGAAATATTTACTGATTACATTTCTTTTCCCTTAGGGATAAAGAAATGGAGAAGAGCTTTGAAGTAGTAAGACACAAAACTAGAGGTAGGGATGAGGTTTCCAAAAACCAGGCTCTAAAACTTCAGCTAGACAACCAGTATGCTGTGCTTGAAAATCAGAAAAGCAGCCACACACAGTACAATTAAGGATTGGTCTTTGCTAACCCTTCTAAGGTAACTAAACCACAGCCACCCACCAGGAACAGCCGTTCATCATCCGATCTCTGCTGGACCCGCGGCCGATGCAGACCACTCGATATGTGACCGGCCCTATTGCACTCTGGATGCATAAGTGTCACACTGCTCTTTGTGTTACATGGATGTAGGGGGATTCTCGTTGTTCTATAAATGCGTGAACTAGATTCAGCAGTGTTCGTTCATTATTACTCTGCAAGTACAAAAGCAGAAACTGCAGCCAGTGGTCATTTCAAAATCTTTTTATGTTCAGATACTGAGCCTTCGTAAGGGCTGACTACCTCAGGTTTGCTGCACTCGTCGCGGACTTCATGTGGATCACTGCTCTGGACACGAAGGTTACAGCTAGTAAGTGTCGGTGTGAAGCCTGAAACCAGCTCTCCTGGACTCATCAGAAATCCTGCAGAAAGTCAGCCATCTGGGTTCTGATCTGCTGTAAAAGATGAAGATTTAAGTGACCTTAATTAACCTGTCCTGTGCCCCACCCTTAAGGCATACTCCGTAGTGGGCTGTGTTAGACTTCCTGGCACATGCCGCTCTCAAGAGAACTCTGTGTTCAGATAATCTGTGTAGAGCTGTGATTTTTATAATTTAAACTTTGAGTTGTGTCCTGAGGTAACCGTAAGTTAAATTCAACCAAACTTGGGTCCACCCAGTGGGACAGAGGGTGGGGAGGAGTGATCTTATTTCTTTTAGTGATTTTTTTTTTTAATTTGGGTAGTGCTTTTTCTGTGTTCCACATTAAGGCCTTTTTTCCTCTTTTTTTTTTTTTTTTGACTTGGAGTAAGTTCTTTGACAGCATATTGCTTGGTTGAGTAAGTAACCTGAAACATGCATTAGGATTGTGAAACGTCTCGTGAATTTGCCAATCCCTGGAGTGGAACCAAATAGGTTATAAAGGGCAGTGGATGCAGGGGGCTCTACTTCAGGTGCTGCTAAAGCCTCCTCCGATCAGGTCTACACTGTACGTGAACTGCAGTGGAGAGAGTGAGTTCTGCTCAGGCCACGTGATTCGCTGACCTGCCCTTATAAATTCAGAGCAACGGGAGCAGAGCCTTCACCTAAAACCCACTTAGGTTTCCACGGATCTTGCATGATCTTTGACAGGATTTCCAGATAGATTTGTACCCAAAATTTTAAGGTATTGGACATTCTGCAGATGCAGTGACTGTGCCAGCCAGCTTTCTTCTCAACCTTCTGGTACGTCTTATGTTCATCTGAAGAGTCAGGTGAGAGACAGGTGACATAGCACTTGTGTTTTTAATAATTACAGCTTAAACTGTCCAGTAATTTTTAGTCCTTAATGGGACTTCAGGAAGCTACCCAGGATTACTGAGAAGTCTTTCCATCTAATGAGATAGTCTGGTAATATACTAGTTTTGTATCTTTGGTTCAGTAGGAATACTTTAAAGTGGTATGTGACCGCTTGGTGCAGAGTCTGGGTTTCTCTCTAATAAATCCCTTTGCCAAATGCAGGAGTTGCAGACTTGCTACTGGCAAGAGTGAAGCAAATGAGGGAGTGACACTCTTCCTGTTGGGGGGGCATCTCCTCTGGGAGTTTAGTGTGGACAAAAGTGTCAGTGCAGGAATCAGCTCCTGGGAGTTGACAGTATCTCCTGACAGGACCTGCCCACCACACCGGGGCCACCGTGGCGTCTGAGGCAGCAGGCAGGACGCCTGGCCTCCCGTGTGTTGGGGCGAGTGGCTGAGCCAGCCAAGGAGAGGTTGGATGATTAAGCAAGAAACCAGGGATTGTTGGTTAGACTGAAGACTTCATTTGGGAACCAAAAATCTTAAATAATCTGTTGGACCTTGAGCCACATATTTCCCCTAAAAAGTACGCATTTTCTTTTCCAGCAAAATTTTGTTGGGGGTTATGTTATTGAGGAATGAACTGAGATGAACATGCGGAACTTTTATTTCATGGGATATTTACTAGAAATCTGAAGACCTGCAGGAGATACAAAGTTCCAACTCTTGTTATAACTTTTTAAAAGATTGTGAAATTATAAAGATGCACATGAATCAAGTTTTAATATACTGTATGATGGGTGGGTGAGGCTGTCCATTGTACCATTTCTTTCTTTGAATTCTCAGGCATGGTTTGGCAGTGCAGGAACTCTGTAACATTAACAAATTCAATAAAAAGTAAATATATGGATTTTGAGTCTGATAGTCTATTCTTTTCCCCCCACCTCCCCCATGGTTTTTATTCTTCATCTTTAACCTAGTCTGTTTTTGAAGTTGGTGTCATGCCTCAGTTGCTGTGGGAGGATGATAATCTCATCTCAGGGGTGAAAATCCAGGTTGATAAATGTTTGCAGCGTACTCTGTTAAAATGACAGATCTGGAACGGAAGTGGTAGATATTCTTCACCAAAGTTAAAGCATTGAAATATACTTTTTTTGTTACTGTATTACATTTTGTTGTCAAACCATGGCAACAGAATCTACAATTTTTACTGTGTGGAATAAAGATCTGGGGCCTTACCCCTTGAGAAGCATACAGTTTTCTTAAATGAGCCTTTTTAAATTTTGGGATTTGTGCTGCATTATAGTCCCTAAATTTGTAAGCTAGAAGAGTGTATTTCAAGTCCCTTTTGGTAATGGGAGTTTAAATGTTTAGTGGTAACAATTGCTATTTGGTCATTCTGGCTACTCTATAATATAGAGTGTTTTAACAGCCCTATTTAAAATAGAACACCTACAACGTGCCCGAGGGGCTCGGTCTGATGAGCATCAGGCTTTTGATTTCAGCTCTGATCATGATCCCAGGGTTGGGGCCAGTATGGAGCCTGTTTGGGCTTCCCTCTCCCTCTGCTCGCTTATTCTTTCTAAACAAACTTTTTGGGGTGCCTGGGTGGCTCAGTCGGTTAAGCGTCCAATTTTGGCTCAGGTCGTGATCTCACAGTTTGTGGGTTCAAGCCCCTTGTAAGGCTCTGTGCTGACAGCCAACTCAAAGCCTGGAGTCTGTTTAAGATTCTGTATTTCCCTCTCTGATCTTCCCCTGTTCATGCTGTCTCTCTCTCAGAAAGAAAAAAAAGAATTTAAAAAAAATTTTTTTAACTTTTTTTTTTTTTTAACGTTCATTTATTTTTGAGAGGGGAGGAGCAGAGAGGTAGACACAGAATCCGAAGCAGGCTGCAGGTTCTGAGCAGTCAGCACAGCAGGACACAGGGCCTTGAACTCATGAACAGTGAGATCATGACCTGAGCTGAAGTCAGACGCTTAGCCAACTGAGCCACCCAGGCACCCTTCAAAATAAACTTTTAAACTGCTTTAAAAAAATAACATGTACAAAACACAGTCCCTCTCCCTATTCCCTCCTTTAAGTTACTGCATAGTTTTGGGAGGTTTTTTTCTGAATCACTGTTTTAAACTGTACACTTGGTCATTTTTAGTATATTCTCAACAGTTGTGCAGCCATCCCCACTCTAAATTCTGGAACATCCTCCCCCCAAATTCCATACCCAGCAGCAATCCTTTACCATTGCCACAAGATCCCTGCCCTAGGAAACAAGTATTCCTTGTCTCTAGATTTCTCTTTCTGTAAACTGGGGTATCTGACATGCAGTCTTTCTTGACTGGCTTCTTTAACTTGGTACGTTTTGAGGTTGGTCCGTCTTGCGGTATGCATCGTACTTCATTTTATTACAAAACAGTTGGATACACCACATTCATTTATTTCCTCGGTTGAACATTAGGTTGTTTCCATTTTATTCTTGTTATGAATAATGCTGCTATGAACTTTCATGTACAAGTTGTGTCAATCTGTTTTCAATTCTTGGATATTTAGGGGTGAAATTGCTGGGTCCTAGAACTCTTGAGTAACTGCCAAACTTGCAAAGTGGCTGCAATACGTTACATCCCCACTAGCCATATCTGAGGATTCAAATTTCTCCACGTCCTCATGATTTCCATAGTTAACCTGACTTTTTAATTCTAGTTATCCTAGGTGGTGTGAACTGGTATATTATAGTTTTGAGTTATTTGTATTTCTGCAATGACTGAATACTAAATATGTGTGCTTATTGGCCATTTGTATATATGGAGAAGTATCTGTTCAAATCCTTTACTAATTTCTTGAGTTCGTATTTATTATTGAATCATAAGAGTTCTTTATATAGACAAGCTCTGGGTGTTTGTTCCTCATCATAATCTGCAAATATTCTTCTCCTTAATGTCTTTTGAAGCACAAGTTTTGTTTTTGTTTTTTTAAGATTTACTTATTTAAGTAATATCTACACCCATTGTGAGGCTTGAACTCACAACCCCAAGATCAAGAATCGCATGTTTTTCCGACCGACTCAGCTCGCGGATTAGAAGCGGACTCTGCACTGACAGCAGAAAGTACGACGCGGGGCTCAGACCCACAAATTGTGAGATCACGACCTGAGCTGAAGTCTGACGCTTAAATAACTGAGCTACTCCGGTGCCCCCAGGACAAAACTTGAATTTTGATGAAGCCCAGTGTATCTTTTTCAGTTGCTTGTGCCTTGGGTGTCTCTCAGAAGTGACCTAACCAAAATCACAAAGATTTATGCTTATTCTAAGCTTTGCAGATTTAGTTCTTTAGTTTAGATCTTTGATCCATTTTGAGTTAGTTTTTGAGTATGCTGTGAGGTAGGAGTCTAATTTCATTCTTTTATATGTAGATATCCAGTTATCCAGCACCATTTGTTGAAGACTTTTCCACTGTTTGGCACCCTAAACATTTTACTTGTTTATCTGCCTCTATTAGAATGTGACATCGGTTAAGCAGTAGAAGCGTAGGAAGAGATGTCGAGTTGGGGAGTGTGGGATAGGAATCGGGAAGAAAAGCCGGGCTGAGTATGAAGCACAGGGGCCAGAGTCTGTACAGGTGTTCCTCGAAGATGGCACAGGCGCTCATTCCAGGGCACCACAATAAAGCAAATAATGCAACGAAGTGAGTCAAATGAATTTTTTGGTTGCCCAGTGTGTATAAAGTTATGCTCATACTGTAGTCTGTTAAGTGTGCAATAAATAGCATTATGTCTATTCCCCGAATCACGAAATGTTCTTAATGACATCTTGGATGGTGAATACTGCCAGAAGGTTTTCAATCTACTTTTCTCAGATCCATCAGAGGAATCTATGGCAACTAGAGCTTTATGAAATGTATTTCTTAAGACCTGGAGGGGCACCTGGGTGGCTCAGTTGGTTGAGCGTCTGACTTCGGCTCAGGTCATGATCTCACTTATGGGTTCAAGCCCCGCATCGGGCTCTGTGCTGGCAGCTCAGAGCCAGGAGCCTGCTTTGGATGCTGTGTCTCCCTCTCTCTCTACCTCTCCCCTGCTCATGCTCTCTCTCTCTCTCTCTTTCTCTCAAAATAAATAAACGTTAAAAAGATTAAAAAAAAAAAAAAAGACTTGGAAGCCAAAAAGACTTGGTCCATGGGCTGCAGAATGAATGTTAGCAGGCGTGCAAACATTACTGTTTCCGATCTCTGTCAGACCCCTTGGATGACCAGGTGCACTGTCAATGAGCAATAATACTTAGACTTCTCTGAACAGGTCTCAACAGTAGCCTTAAAATATTAAGTAAACCGTGTTGTCAACAGATGTGCTGTCATCTAGGCTTTGTTGGTCCATTTAGAGAGCACAGGCAGAGTAGATTTAGCATAGTTCTTAAGGGCCCTAGGATTTTTGGAATGGTAAATGAGATCTGGCTTCAATAGAGTCACCAGCTGCATTAGCCCCTAATGAGAGTCACCCTGTCCTTTGAAGCTTAGAAGCAAGGTGCTGACATCTCTCTCTAGCTGTAAAGCCCTAGATGCCCTCCTCTTCCAACATAAGGCTGTTTTGCCTACATTTGAAATCTGTAGCTTAGTGCAGCCACCTTCAATCAATGTAGGTCTCAGCTACATCTTCTGGGTCCCTTGCTGCAGCTTCTGCATCGGCACCTGCTGCTTCACCTTGTTATGGAGATGGCTTCTTCCTTAGATCTCATGAACCAACTAACCTCTGCTGGTTTCAGACTTTTCTCCTGCAGCTTCCTCACCTCTCAGCCTTCATAGAATTGAAGAGAGTCAGGGCCTTGCTCTGGACTAGGCTTTGGCTTAAGGGAATGTTGTGACTGGTTTGATCTCTCCAGATCATGCAAACCTTCACATCGGCAATTAGACTGTTTTGCTTTCTTATCATTTGTGTCTTGTTTACTGTGGTGGCACTTTGAATTTCCTTCAAAAACTTATCCTTTGCATTCACTGCCTGACTGCCTGACACAAGAGGGCTAGCGACATGTCTTCCTTCCTAAGCTTAATCATTTCTAGCTTTTGATTTTTTTTTTAATTTTAGAGAGCAAGACCACAAATGGGGGAGAGGGGCAAGCGAAGAGAGAGAATCCCAGGCAGCCTCCATGCTCAGCACAGAGCCTAATGTGGTGCTTGATTCCACAACCCTGGGATCATGACCTGAGCTGAAATCAAGAGTCAGGTGTTCAACCAGCGGAGCCACCCAAGTGCCCTTTGAGCTTTTGATTTAAAATGAGAGAGACATGTGACTCTTCCTTTCACATGAACACATACGGTTCTTTTTTTTATTATTAAAAATTGTTTTAAATGTTTGTTTTTGAGAGGCAGAGAGACACAGTGTGAGCAGGGGAAGAGCAGAGAGAGAGGGAGACAAAGAATCCGAAGCAGGTTCCAGGCTCCGAGCTGTCGGCACAGAGCCCGACACGGGGCCTCAACTCACAAACAGTGAGATCATGACACAAGCTGAAGTCTGACACTCAACCGACTGAGCCACCCAGGTGCCTCTAAAAAATTTTTTTTAAGCTTATTTATTTTGAGAGAGACAGAGTGTGAGTAGAGGAGAGGCAGAGAGATAGAGAATCGGAAGCACGATCCGCACTGCTAGTGCAGAGCCCGACGCAGGGCTCGAACCCACAAAACCTCGAGATTATAACCTGGCCGAAACTAAGAGTCAGATGCTTAGAATGACCCATCCACACTCCCCCACATACAATTCTTAATTGCCCTAATTTCGATATTGTTGTGTCCCAGGGAATAGGGAAGCCCGAGGAGGAGAGAGAGGGAAATAGCCAGTCAGTAGAATGCAGTACACACCCACCTTTGCCGATTAAACTCAGTGTCATGTGGACACAGTTTGTGATGCCCCAAAGCAATTAAAATAGTAACATC